AGAGAGAGAGAGAGAGAGAGAGAGAGAGAGAGAGAGAGAGAGAGAGAGAGAGAGAGAGAGAGAGAGAGATTGCACAACGGCAAATCTGGAGCTGTTAGTACATGAACCCCTCCTCACCTTTAGGAGATCCATAGAGTGGATAGGACTCTCCAAAGATCTTTGCATCTCTGATCAGCAAGTCAACTTTGCTTCCGTATGATCGTTTCTTTTCTTCTCCCCCGTCTTTCATCCCATGTCCGCGTGATTGTTTCTCTTCTTCTCTGTCGTCGCCTTTCTGCCCATGCGAAGGAAGCTCCCCATTGTCGCCATCAACTGACGCCCGTGCTCGTATCTCTCTCGATTTTTCTACAAGGGTCATCCGACGGGCAGGCCCACGATGTGCATCATCAGCTGCCCGTTGCTGTTCATCCTCTTCTTCATCGTCATCCTGTTCGCTCATCATTTCATCGTCTTCGTCACCATACACTTGCGCACTCTTCCCTCCCCGCTGTTTCTCTTCCCTCTTCTTCCGCCGCTGCTTTTTTTGTAACTCTAGGGCAAATTTACCATAACAGCTTTTGTCGCAAACAAAGACGATCGACTCCTCTACCGTATGTGTGGTGACAAAGTCCTGCAGAGTGTCAATCAACTCCACAAAAGCTCGAAGACTGGATGCTTGCTTCCCAGTTTTCAAAGCCCCGATTCTTAACGCTTCACGAGAGGCATCCATCAAACTCACCCGCACCGTACTACTCCTCGCTTTGCGAGCGTTCTCCATGGAAGCTCTGAGACCTATCACAGTGTTCATCACCTTGCCTTTCCCGTCGTACGGAAGCCCCCTTGGCGGCTTATTACAGACGCGCTGGAAAGCGTCGTCCTCATCCGAATTCAACGCCAAATTCAAGTAACTCAGAACATCGAGAACCTCGGCGCTCTCGTAAATGTTATGGCCTCCGACAACGCGAAACGGAATCCCCTTCCGCTGCAGTGCAATTTGAAACGGCATACTCAAGACGCGACTGCCCCATTTCATATTCCTAATCAGGATCGCGAAGTCGCTGTAGGGTCTCCTCTTTGCACCTCCCGTTTCCGATCCATCGACCTGCTCACTGCCGTTAACTTTTTCTTGCTTCGATTCCGCCCTCAGCTCCTGAATTTTCTTCGCGATCCATTCCGCCTCATCATCCTCCGTTCGCGTCTCCACCAGCAAAACAGGCTCGCCGTCCGGTTTTGTCGGTTTGAGACACTTGTTGACGCGGCCCCCGTTGTCCTTGATCACCTCCCTCGCCACGGTCAGGATATTTCCGGTGCTCCGGTAGTTAATCTGCAGCGGGCGAACAATACGCTGCAGAAAATGTTCGGCAAAGATGGTGAAGGCTCGCGCATCTGCACCGCGGAAGCCATAGATCGACTGGTCATCATCTCCGACGACCGTAATCTTTGCGAGATCGACCTCTTTCATTATCTCAAGGATTATACTGAAAACACAAGAGGGTCAATTACAGGGAGTTCCCACAAAGGGTTTCAGTTTTTGAGTCCTTTAAAAAGGATGGTGGAAGCCAGGAGACATGGATGGAAGCCCGCATAGAGAGACAGCAGAGGAAAGGGGGCAACTTGTCAGTTCTTTTCCCCCCAAATATCCCCCCCCAAATAAGAAGGGAGAAAAAGAAGAAAAAAAAAGAAAAGAAGGAAAAAAGATGCCCTTTCACCTAAAGGACAAAAAATTTGAAAACAATGAGTTTTAAACTTTTAAGTTGTGGTTGATCATTAACGAGTGAGCAATGAGCATCAATGAGGGTTGAATCAACATTGGAGATGATTGGACCCTAATGTGCAGAACATGCTACATGCTCCCGAGTTCGAACACCTACGATGTTCCTGTGTCACGGTGGGGGCCACAGCCGTCCATCCTTGAGCTGACAGCTCCGTTCCCTGCAGTTGACTACGTGCAGAAACCTTGCTACCCCAGAGTTAAATTTCAGATTGAAAACAAAAGACAAAAGACAAAAAAGAAAAAAGAAAAAAGAAAAAAGAATCAGATAAGCCAATACAGAGGAGGAATTCGGTCAGATAAGCCAATACAGAGGAGGAATTCGGTCCTCCGGGACATCCGTTAAAATTGGAACAATACAGAGAAAGAAGATAAGCATGGCGGCTACGGAAGGATGACATGCGTAGATTGAAAATGTTCAGGCAACAAAAAAAGGAATAAAAAAACTTTGCCACAGGTATGAAAACACACAAAGACCTTGGTAATAAAGATGACGGTTGTCACGGTTGTTTATTTGGCAAAAAAAAAAAAAGAAAAAAAAAAAAGAAAGAAAAGAAGAAGAAGATATGAAAACACCTGAAACCAAGGCATCATTTATTTATCCTTCAGTGGATAAGACATAATTAATTTATTAATTGACTTGATTTTTTAATTATCTTTTGGTGCTTGCGCCATACAACATGTGATTAGACCAGACAAGCTTACAAAATCCATCACAAAGCCAAGCCTCACCCTCGACCATACTGAACCTATATCTGTACCAAGGAACCATTATGAACCTAGAAGGACAACTGACCAGGTGCATGCTAATTCAGGAAGAAGTTAGCACAAAAAAGCAGTGCAGACTGGCACTAAGACCCAGCTGAAGAAAGCTTACGTCTTGGCTGCCAAGCAATTGTTCAATCAGAGGCAGGGACTGCCTTGGGACTAGACAAAGGACCGACGGAAGGACGAGCAGAATAGTATATAGCAAGTAGAGTAGGACCTACCGGACATCTCAAGATCCCCCCTGATAAGGCTACGACTGGCAGTAGTCGGAACTAGTAGGGGATACGCCAAATGTCATCACTCGCCGGCGGTTTCGAAGACGATCTAGGCGGTGGGAGCGTGGCGGCGAGTGTGGAATCGCCATAGCCTGCTTGCTCGCTGTGGCCTTCACTCGTTGCTTCATGTATTTACTACTAACTTTTCGGAGTTAATTTCGAGATTTCTTCACGTATTTACTGTGTAGTCACGGTTATGTGTGCGTCGCGTGCGGTCAGGTCTTACTTGTGGCTTTGCGACTTCTCTTCGCACAATTGTTCGATTCTCTTTTATTCAATCTTTTCATTGTTCGGACATTTTTGTGATTTTTGTGTCAAAATTTGCATCCTATTACCACCTGCCGTCTTCACCTGAGTACAACGTACGGTCATTACAGCTGTATCTGGGCCATGTTTCAGTCTAAATACACAGCAATAATGACCGTATGACGTACGTTGTATTCAGGTGAAGACGATAGCACTCGCTCATTCTCTCTCCTCAAGCAGCTTTGCTGAGCAGGGAATGCACAAGGTTTGGTTAACAGGAACCCCGCTAGTTTTCAGCCCTCCTTTGGTCCTCTTTTTCACTTCTTCTTGTTTTTGCTGTTGGTTTATTTAGCGTCTACTCTATGGACCGGAGACATGTTTGGCTTAAAAGGTGCACGAGGTTTGTTATTATTAATATTTATTATATCATATGAATATAATAAAGACCATGAAAAAGCCTAAAAAACGCAGGGCTCTCTTAAGCCGAACACAAAAAGGGGGAAAATAGAAAGAGAAAGAGAAAGAGAAAGAGAAAGAGATGGATCACCAACCTTTGTTGGACGGCGTTCGTGTCTTGGTACTCGTCAATAAGAATGTACTCGTATTGTTCTCTGAACTTTCGCATGACTCGTGTATGGTCTTGCAGCAGTTTCAATAAAAGCTGGAGCATGTCATCGAAGTCGATCGCGCAAAGCTCTTTCAGCTGCACACACAAAGTCGAAAGCCAGCGTGTACACAGACTGAGGTCCTCGATCCAAACATTCAAGCACAGCACACAAGGTTCATCGTATCTGTATCAAGAGACCAATTTCCTGGCCACATACAGAAATGAAGACCCCCCCAAAAATCTACAAGAAAAAGTTTACCACAGTCCTCACCCGAATAGAATGCCCGTTGCCCGATCACTATAGCTGTATCTAGACTGGAAGTTACACCAAACACAGGTACAACGACTGGGCATTCTCTTCCACTGAAGACGGTAGGTGTA